AAGTCAATACAAATATTTAAAAGAAAAAAAATAAATAAAATGCATTGATAGCTGTCCTCAGGCACCACAGGCTTCCACAGGTAACAAGAGAGACGAGGGTTTCGAAGGCTGCTCTCCGGGGGAGGTTAGAACGATGCCAATAACCCTTTTCACTGTGACTGGAACTTTCCACGAAGGCACAGAGGACTTTTACATATTACACTCTGTGCAGAGGGGAAGGATGTGGAACAGACACATCCACACGGCCGTGGGCTCGTGTTGACGGAATAACCGGGGAGGGCAGACGTGAGGCCTTCATTTCTGCAGCTGCTGGGCCCCACCCAGAGCTCCGCCACCGTGAGCCCTGTCCCGCCGCCTCAGGATCCTCTTTACTTCTATAGCCTCTCAGGCGCGTGCCCGCCAAGCACATCAGGGCACAGGTTCAGAATTCTCCCCACAAATGATTACATGCAGTCCTGAGTGTAGAGGCTCTGGGGTCAGAGACGAGGGGGAAAGCATAGAGCCAATGTGCACAGCGACGCAGGTCCGCGTGGGGACCTCTGTGAACACGCCGGGCGCCCGCCAGGCTGTCAGGAGAGGCATCTGGCTGAGAGCCTCCGGGGCAGGACGGGAGGGCGCTCGGGACGGGGCAGGGTGAGCTACGGACTCTCCGTTATAACATAATCCTAGTGACTCCCCACCCCCTGCGGCCCTGTGTCCAGGCTGTTCTGGTGCGTGAAGGTTTTGCCACGGGCATGCTGGGTCTGAACAGCGTGCTGACCTAAGCGGTCAGCCCCTGAGCGGTCAGCCCCCGAGTGGTCAGCCCCTCTCCCTCCACAGCTTCGTGCTGAGGACCCCGGAGGCTGCTCTAAGCGAGTCTCCTCGCCTCGCGCAGCCGCTGGGGAATCGGGTCGGGCCCACGGGCTTGCTGGTCGGGCTGGATCTGAACAGCGTGCTGACCTGAGCGGTCAGCCCCTCTCCCTCCACAGCTTCGTGCTGAGGACCCCGGAGGCTGCTCTAAGCGAGTCTCCTCGCCTCGCGCAGCCGCTGGGGAATCGGGTCCGGCCGGGGCGGGGCGGTGGACACCCGCGTGCCTGCAGAGCTGCTGTAGAGGCGACGAGTGGGCAGATGGGGCGAAGGTTAGCGTGTGGGGCTGGCCCCTCGGACCCAGTGTGCAGGGTTTGGGTCAGATAAACAATGATGCTGTGACTGCCCCGTGTGAGGTCACTATACTCTCTCACCCTTGTCTCTGACCCCGTATCTCCGCTCACGGACATGCACGTCCACATTTGTGGCAGGAACACCTGGGAAACGGAGGGAAGGGGGCTGCGTGGACACGGCCTTCGCTCTGACCTCATGTCCTACCTGCTCCTCACGCGCCTTTACCATCGGGTCCGACGGAGGCTCCGCCAGGCTGCGTAGACACGAGCGTGGCCACGCGTGTTCCAGCGAGGAAGGCCCAGGGCCCTGGCACGGACGGGCTAGTTCCGCGTTTTCTGCAACCACCTCTGAGCAGGGCTCTTTGTCAAGCTTTGGACATTATTTTTATTTTTAATCCTCACCCGAGGATATTTTTCCATTGATTTTTAGAGGGAGTGGAAGAGAGAGGGAAAGACAGAGAGAAACATCGATGTGAGAGACACACATGGATGGGTTGCCTCCTGCAGGTACGCTGGCCGAGGCCCGGGCCGGGGAGGAGCCTGCAACCCAGGTACATGTCCTTGACTGGAATCGAACCCAGGACCTCAGGCCGACATTCTATCTACCAAGCCAAACCAGCTAGGGTTGGAAGTCATTTTAAAAGATTTAACGTATTGGGTACTGACTAGATTCAGGAGTGAAGTTTCACCGATGACACTTTCTCATCATGAAAAAAGATATTGCTTTAGAACAGCGGTTCTCAACCTGTGGGTCGCGACCCCTTTGGGGGTCGAACGACCCTTTCACAGGGGTCGCCTAGGACCATCGGAAAACACATCTATAATTACATGTTGTTTTTGTGATTAATCACTATGCTTTAACTATGTTCAATCTGTAACAACGAAATTGGGGGTCACCACAACATGAGGAACTGTGTTAAAGGGTCGCGGCATTAGGAAGGTTGAGAACCGCTGCTTTAGAATAAGGCGTAGAGAATAACCTAATATCGACGGAAGAAACGTCCAAACCTGCAGAGCATTTTTGTAAGCGTCTAAGGCAAACGGACAACATATGCCGGGGAGGGGGCCAGGTCTCAAATGCTGGGGAGAATAACGACTTTGCAGTTTATGCATTTGAAGTTGAGGGGGGCAGGAAGAGGGCAGGAAGTGGGAAGAAGCCAAGCGGGGATTGGGTGACGGGATGGTTAACAAGAGGGTGTGCCCTCCTGAGGGTTCATTCCTGCTTCCAGGGGTCTCCCTTCTGGGGTGCAAAGGTGAGCCACCCGCATGCCACGGGCGATGGGCAGGGCCCGCACAACCTTTCCGGGAGGAAGCCCTGGCCTGGGGCGGGGCTGGCCACCAGGACCCGCCAGGGTAGGGATTCATGACCAGGTCACCTGGGAGGCCACTGCCCACAGAACCCCCCTATTTTTTCGTTCACATTAATGATCCTACCATCATGCCATCGTATTTGTTAAAAGTATAAAGTTCTTTTATTGTGCAAAGGAATGTGCACAACTTTTAGACTTTCATGAGTTAAAGTTCTTGCTTAGTTTCTAATGATTATTATTGCTAGAGGCCCGATGCACGAAATCCGTGCCAGGGCAGGCCTGCCTTCCCCCGGCTGCCGGCATCCGCTTCCCTCTGGCACCCGGGACCCCGGCTTCCCTTGCTGCCCCGGCTTCATCGGGAAGGTCGTCCAGAAGGACGTCCGGTCCAATCAGCATATGATGCTTTTATGATCATAGATTCTTTTACCAAGAGTTTACATTGGCGTCATCGAAACAATAGCCTGCGATCGCTGGGACCACAGCTTGATGCCCGGCGCTTGAGGGGACAGAGCATTTAAAGTCTGTTTATTACTTTTGGGCTTTTAAAGGCGCTTCCCTAGGAAATGCAAAGGCCGGGCCTCCTGGGTCAGGCGGAGGCTGGAGCAGCCCCGCGCTCACATCTCACGTTCCTCCCGGGGTGTCTCCAGGCCGCCCATCCGGTTCAGCACGGATGACCCGCAGCCTCAGCACCGAGCAGCGGGAGGTGCGCGTCTCCCCCTTCGGGCGTCACGTGGCGCTGCGGACGGACAGCAGGACGTTCCCGTTGGCCCCTGCGCAGAAGCTCCCACCTGTCCCTGTCC